TGCATGCCCGAGTTTTTGTTTCCGTTTTGTGTAAAGGTTGTAGCCTGACTTTTATCCGCCAAAAGAGTAAAGACTATGACTCCAACTTACAAACTGTTCAAGCTAAATAACGTATACAGTTTACCAAACTCCACCTTGGGATTTATTTAAGCAGACTAAATTCTACTGCGGTAAATTCATCCAGTGTTTTCACATCGCATTACTGCACAGTGGATATAGGTCACAAAGTTTAAGATCGAGGATGAAGATGGATCTCTCCACAAAGATCCCGTCCAGAAGGCCAAGGTCGGTGAAGCAGTAATAGGTAAGATTTGAATGACCTGCCGCAGCCAGTCTGGCAGAGTAATTACATGAGATAATGGAAAGTGCGGTGAAGCAGGCTATAAAGTAAAGCCCTGTCACATTACATTACCATCATCCTTGGCGGGACTGGGACGGAGCCGACTGCGGTTCAGGAAAAAATTCCTCCTTCATTACAAAACCCACGGAGTGGATCGGCCCAGTTATTCCTGACAGAACAAGCGGTATTGAACTGAGGCCCTGTCACGTGAAACCCCACTTCTCCCCGAGCAGATTTCATCTCTCCTCGCCAACTTCGGCTAAAACAAATTCCAATTAACCATGATGTCTTCATCTCGTCCACATATCTGTAGCTGCCCATCTCCTAAAGAGAGCTCTCCCTGCACCTGTTCTGAGCAGCTCTACCAGATGAGCATCCGAGCACCTAATAAATCCAGCAGACACCGTTTTCTGTGCTTTTAGTGTCTTTCTACGCTAGTGTTGCAAGCATATTGCATATCGACCGGCTGCGGTTCAACAGTGCTTTGAAGAAAAGCACCTGCCAAATGATAAAGGTAAATCCGATCAATGCCATAAGTTTATTCAGTTACGCAGTAGAAGCTCACAGGGTGAAAAAGCTGAAGATCCATTCAGGGAACAAATCTACTAAACCTCGTCTTGTGTTGGAAAAGTGCTCCATTTCCCACAGCAGAATGTTTCACAGACATTGTCACTTTTGATTGTGAAAGAACGAAATGTGTACTAATCGGTAGAAAGAGCAAGTTTTTTTTTTCTAATCAATTTCTTCATGAAAATAAGAAAATGCTTTTTTTTTTCCTATTTAGTGTTGCAAGTTCTCTTTTTGTGCCAAAGCAAAATGGAGCTTCAGAGAGAGAAGACACGCGCATGACCTAGTTATACTAGAACAAGTGCTCTAACTGGGGGTGAAAGGAAAATGCTGAATGTATATTTTATGAGTAAAACTATTTCAAGCTTGACAGCACAAAGTCCCTGTGACGGTGCTCATTATGTTGTTAAAGTGCAACGATGAGTGATAAAACTACAGCACCCTAAACCTCTATGGTTCTGCATCTCTGAACCCTTGACCCTAATGGTACAGTGTGGGTTTAACTAGATATCCTAACACAAACAAGTTGCACCGACCGTGGATAGATGATTTCTGAGCCTGGGGCCTGCTACACTGCAAAGAGATTACAGACGCAAGACAGGATACACCTTGGATGGGACACCAGTCCATCACAGGACACACACACACACACCAAGGCCAATTTTCCCAGAAGCCAATTAACCTACAGGTATGTCTCGGGACCGTGGGAAGGAACCAGACAACCCGGAATGAACACGTGAACGTGGGGGCAACATACAAACTCCATACAGACAGCACCCCAGGAACTGAACAACACTAAGCACTGCACCACTGTGCTACCCCAAGGTGTATCACAATGGTCAAATCATTTCTAAAGCAAATCTAATGATGATTCCAAAGTCTGCTAAACCTAGACAAGCCCTCTTTCAGTAAAATCCACACATTCCCTTTTATACTATAAAGCTACTATATACGCATATTTGAGTCTGTTTAGTGCAACACCCTGTTCTCTAGATCTCCCTATGTTCTTTGCTCCATGTTTATGGTTGTGATTTTGTGCAATGTTAACATCTGGCATGTGACTGCTAAAGAGTTTTTATTTTAAGCACAGTTTTACGGCTCAGTTTTCCCTCAATCTTTTTATATTCATGAAACATAATTCATGAAGTTGCATGGTACATTATGGAAATGCCCCTATGAAAAACATAAGAACTGCATTAACCAGTATTCAATACAAACGAAAGATCAGAATTTGGGAGAAATAAATGTAGAACTGGAAATTACTTTTGGTTTCACACCCTTCCAGCCTGCAACCTCCAGTTGTGTTAGAAGGATGAGCGGCTCAACAGGCATCAGAGGCTTCACCGATTGCAGGAGAAGAGTGCCTCTCAACACCACAAGCTGCAGGACTGCAAGTGTATGGGCTGAGGGGGTCCCCTCCTACAGACTCCACCCCCCCATCAGCAGAGCCCAGCCAGTCAAGACCAGGGTCTCCCTTGTGGGAGCCACATCGAACATTGAACTACCCACCCTAACACAGATCACCCTCTCTAGGGCTTTATTTGCTCCGCGTTGTGTGAGAATGTCAAATCGTCACGTGCACGTGTTTTGCACAGAAAGCATTTTGAAGCACTGTGCCTTCCAGCTCATCCAGAGTGTCCACAGTTTCCGCTGCCCGCTTGTCATTCTCTTAAATGTCATTAGAGCAAGACGAGGACCAAGTCAGAAAGCAGACCCGAGTCTCGCGTCCAGTAGGTCCAGGCTGACCGAGCTCGCAGCTGCAGTGAAAGGATTCATCACGCAGAGCAGCCACACAAGACCGCAACGAGAGCTACGCTTGGATGAGGTGCAAAGAATGAGATCAGTTACCACGATAAAACTGATTTGTTGTACCTAAAACACTTCCCTGGAGGGAACGGTCTGAACGCAGGCATGGACAGGCGCAGACCCAACATGCTGCACAGCACAAAGGATGACGCAGCTGGCAGCAGAGAGACAGTAATTTGGCACAGCAGCTGGTAGATACACAGGCTCCCAATTCTCAATTTTCTAACAAAGCTACTGTCAGTTCCTGGACCGTGCTGTCGAGATAATGGGGCTTGTATGGAAACCCTGCATTTTACTGTATTAGATGCTTTCCCAGCAGGCCAAGGAGGCAGTGACCTTCTGGAATCTGCCCAGCTTCTGACTGAGTCCTGACAAAGCCCAGCCTCGAACCAGCAACACCTGTATGATAAGCCTCCAATCAAGCACCTTTCTACTTCACCCACTCCCAAACTCTGACAGTACATCTTTATGTAGCAGCAATTTGCACAGATTCCCAGCCTTTTAGCAAAACAAAATGGCATTAATTCAGGGACAATTAGAGTCATAACTATCATTGTTACCTTAACCTTTCACAATGAAACATTCTGGTACATGTACTATATACTGTACAATGTCAGTCCAGCATAATATTCACTCTGCACAGTTGGAGCGCTTTTAAATGTGTCCACATCTTGTGAATGTGACTGTTTGATTTGTTGATGGACAGCTTATAAACAGAGTGTGGTTTTGGAATGACACTGGTATTCTGCCCAGACAGAAAGTGAACAGACCTTTAGGAAAATGAAAGCATTGGGGATATGAATAAGTTTATATACTAAACAAACCCACACATAAGATACACAGCACCAGCTAAACCGGATTCATCGCGCTCTAAGCAAAAACAAAATTTGTCATAACGTTTGTTGGGAGACGTTTCTCACTCCAACAGGATTAATGGTGAGATAAAAGTGGATTTAAAATGCAAGAAAACCCCAAAAGAACTACATATAATTTTAGCAGGATTGCTAAGGAGCCAAAAACTACATAACCACAGCTTTGCAGAAACTAACGGCGAACAAATGCCAGCTGTCTGAGGCAGCGCCATAGTATTTCATCAAGGCTGATTACAGACAGACTTTTTAGCAGTGCAATTCACAACACCCCGCTGCGTTTTAAAAATACTTAAAATTCCACATCTTAAAAGTCAGCCCCATGTATGTTCTTATTCGTAAATTCTCTCAGTGAAACACAGCTGAATTTCTGGCATCGTGGTAAAAAAATGAAGCTCCCTGACAAGCTGAACACACTGCAGTATTATGTCTTCTAACGTCTTTAGTAATAAAGAGCATCGATGTAAATTCCTAAAACATTTTTTATAGTGCAGAATGACGAGAGAGACACTTTCGAGTACAGAGGACTAGAATGTGCTAATCAAAACAATCACTGCTGCTCCACTCCTGTGCTGGATGATGAATTAGTATATGTGTCTCAGAAGGTGACTTGTAAATGAGATACGTTTTTAAAAGTGTATAAAAGTACAAGATGTGCATACATCTACAATTCCTTAGCAAGATTATTTTAAAACAGTAGAAATCATAAGTAACAACTGCGATAGTAAAATATTATCAACCATACAGATAATGGAAAAGTATTTTTTTCAAAACTGTAGCCATATCACAATTTAAACAGAGGGCAGCTGTGTGCTTAGACAAATACTCAAGAGAACACTTGTAGATTACCCAATGACTTGAACATTATGTGTGAAGGTTATTTAAAACATTTCACACCCCTCAGATTTGAAAACAGTCTGGCTTTGACTTCCTGTGCAGGGAGGCTCAAGCATAAAGGTGTAATTCAAACAAGGGGAAAATGAACCAATGGAAGTTTTCCAATTAAACAAAACTGCCGCTTGTGTTGATCCCAGGACTCCTTGCAAAACAGGGGAAACTGCACGGTTATCTTAACACCAACCTCCAGAAACAGATGTGTTTTCCGCCATTATTTTCCACTATAATCACGTTCTTCTTCAACAGCTTAGAACGAGTTAGCATGCCCACCAGAATCCTAAAACAAACTTTTATTGGATAAAAGTGACTTATACAGGCTCTCATGTCAGCTGCGCTTCACACCTGCAGGTCACTGCAGAACACCAAACTGTACCCGAAGCAGGGTGGTGGTGACGAACACCTTGTCATGACGCTCATCTGTCTCATTTGGAGACGAGCAACACTGGTCAGGGAAGTAACGGCACTCTGGGCTTCACATGACAGCACTGGGCATGCCAAATAATCAATCCACGTTCTCCCACCTGCCTGGCCACTCTCCGGGCTTCCCAGTATGGCTTCGAGTCTTCCACCGCTTTCCCAATCTTCTTCACCAGCTCATCCAGCTTGACGGTGGCTTCGACCAGGACGGAGCGGAACCTCTGACGAGCTTCCTGCGAAGACAAACCACAGCGGTGTCTCAACACCCATCGCAATCCTGCTCCGCTACAGACCTGCTCCACCGACCCCAGCCAGACAGCAGATCTCTCCTCTTGTAAACAGCGCCAACAAAAACCCAGCAGTCTGCTCAGCACAAAAAACATGTTTACAGTTTCTCCCCCGATATAATTTACCGCTTTCCTTTAACACAGGCAAACATCCATGCACACCAACCATCAGCGCACTTGATTTCTAAGAAAATAAAATTACAATAATTGAGCTTTATAGTTCCTTAATGCGAGCAACTGTGTTTTAATTCAATTTGAGTCTAACGAAGTTAAGAGGAGTGACGGCAAACTTGCCTTCAGCAGCTAAACCAAAACAAAAAATAGACTAAAAATCAAGACATCAACAAAGCAATGTCTGCTTCATGCAGACAGACACTAGAAGACACCTCTCTTATTACGTCAAGCATGTCAGAAGATGCACGCTAAATATAAATAGATTTAAAGAGCTAAAGAAGCTTTTCCTGAAGAGCTGCCGATTGTAACTTTACAATTACAAGATGTTCTACAGCAAAATAATACTATTGATTATTATTATTATTATTGAAAGGTGCTGTCCACTGTATTTAACAAAAACTGTAGATTACCCAAAGCTCCACACATTCTGTATCTGAAATGATGTTAAGATACTGCAACCCTTCCAAAAGGAAAATGTTATAACTTTGTTTTTCTACAAAACTGATACCATCAATTATTTAGAAGCATTTATTGAAAAGTAGCACAGGCTTCAGCTAATCTATATACAAATGCAAACAACAATTAAAGAGCCTATACATGAAGTTGGCCATGTTGTTAGGCTGGCAGTACCAAAACAGCAATTAAATGCTGTGAATTTTGATTATGGATTGTTTTAAAGAAACTGTTGCTGTTTCAGCACAGAATAAACTCTTACTTGTTCCTGAAGAAAACTATTTACTTAACTCTTCCCAAACTTAAAATGAGTTCGGTCTTTTACAACAGACCCACAGTCTAGAAAAAGAGGTAAAGTTTCAGGGTAACAAAGACAGCCTGCTGTACTCCAGCACTGTAGAGACAGAAAATGGAAATGGATGGATACACACAGGATACGGATACTGTACAAGCCTCTCACACCACATCTGGAAATGCTGTAGCAGCAGCAGAAATTTCAACACAAAAAAATCAGTAAATGGGTTTCACAGCAACACCAAATTGCATGGAATTCCAGACGGCATAGCACAGAGGGCAGCCTGTCTAGTCAGACATGGTTGATATTCATGCTTCCGTAAAATGGTATTTATAATTGTACAGTGCTGTGGTAGAGTTAATCAGCGGCTTATTTTAAAATAGTTTCAATTTTTGTCACATTTACAAATCCTACAACACTGTGTAAATCGTGTAAAACTTTGGTGAACATTAAGTGGACGTTAGAAAGTATCAGTTGAAATTAATTAATAATTTATCATTTATGTTTTATATTAACATTAACATTTTAATTTAATTTACACCTGAAGAAGGCTCCATGGCCGAAACGTTGTGTTCTCTTTCTTCTTTTTTTTCAGCATGGAATAAACCTATTACTTGTTCCTTTATAATTTATAAAGTTCAACTAAAAATATTACAGCTATTCACATACCCATTCACATTGAGAAGACCACTAATTTTATTTTGCAATTTGCCACAGATTGAAACAGTATAAGCTTTGTAGCAAGCTGTATAAATGTTCCCGAATCTGCGTTGTACCACGCATGTGGTCATTTTAAGAGAGATGGATACTTTATTGATCCCGTGAGGGAAACTGCAGAATGCAGAAATTGCAAATTGCAGAAATTAAAGACAACTGACCAGCAAAACATTTTCTTTAGAGTAAGCTGTACATATGATTTTGTAAATGATCCATTTACTATAAACTGACATTGTGAAGAATACAAAAGCATCTATATATGCACAGTAGTATTAATACTCTTGTAGTTGGGGCAGGTTAAATCTTTGTGTTTCCCAGCTTGATTGCCCTTCACTTAAGCTGGAATAAAATGAGCATTGTCTTGCTGCATGTCTAGAGCTGTGCTTGGACCCTGATTACTAAAGTAAATATATTCATGAAGGGAAGAGGAGGACATGCTCAGAACTGCAGCAAACAAAAGTTTTGATTTGACAAAAAAAACACGAGAGACTGAAATAAAATTATATTTAAAAAACAAGAAGTCATCATGTTACACATAAGAGATGACAGCTCTAAACCTCTTACTGTATACTTGGGCAAGCATTTGCTGACAATCTGTCCGAAGTAACACTTACCCCCAACGTGATTCATTAAAACCTTACATCAGATGGGAGTCACGCAAACACTGTGCCATATTAATATGTACCTTCCTGTCCCAGGAACCACTGGACTTGGCTACACTGACCCATGACTCTGCATGTCGGCATTAAAACCCCCTGTACATCTCCACAAACTGACTATTTTAAAAAATAATCAGAAAAGCAGAATCATGGAGCAGCCACCTTCTCAATTTACCCCATCACCTACAAGATGGGCCACCAACATACTGAAAGTCACCATTTTCCAGAACGGTAAAATCTCAATATTGTATTTTTCTATCCTATGAACTTTTCAGAAGAAATCGGAATTAAGCAAAGTGCCATAGGAAGTGCACTTAAACAGATCTGCTTTCTTAAGGTAAATTCTTACACTTTGAAGAAAAGAGATCTCAATAATAAGTTAACGAAGCCCTCCTGACTTCTTTGACAGTAAAATGGATTCATGAGACTTCAGAAACACAGCAGCGCTCAAACTGTAGTGCCGCTGTAATGTGTATTCTCTGGATATGCATTCACAACACACACATTTATCACATTCCACAGGCTACCCTTGGGAAGCAAGCAAACTAACAATTTTCAACTGCTGAGCAAGGGGATCTAGTGAAATAATCAGGCCAGGAAAGCAATGCAGTCATCTGCACAGCACTGTAAACGTGTTTCTGATTAATGCATCATTTACTCACACATCCCATGAAATACCTAACTGTCTTCCGTAAAAAACAAACATGAAACTCTTATTAATTCACATTTACCTTTTAAATATTTACTTTGTTATAGTTCTGTAAAAGTATACTATCCATGTACACCTTTATACAAATTGGACAGGAGATATCAAATATTTGCTATTTATTATTCACGGTCATTCCATATGAATTCTGAACTGGTATGTGTCTTACAAATACTTAGCAAGTCTGTAATGAAGCTGAGAAAGGATATGGGCACATTAATTAGCTAGCACGATGCTGACTGGGTAATTAGTATGAGATCTAGCCTACTGGTGCTCGGACGCTTTCTTGCCTACATTGCAGAATGACATAAGGTTTGAGGCTGCGCCAGGGAACAGCTTTCTATTCCTCCAACGAACCAGGTAACCAATCGCCCAGAAGAAAAGCTTCTGTGCCAGAAGAGGTAGCTCTGGGTGAGAGGAAACTTCACTCTCTGTTCCCCATAGAAGAAAGATACCTCTTCTCCTTTACCTGCCAACATCGCCCCGAGCTACACAAAAACACGGCAACAGTAAAAAAAAAACCTCTTAATTTAATCACCGCAATGTCGACTGTGAAAGTAATAAGATAAAGCCAGAGAGCCAAGCTTGTCTTTGCAGAAGTCTGAAAAGAAACTCATTACAGGCCTCTGGGCACCACAGTCCTATCAATGTAAGAAAATAAAAAAGGTCACAAATGGCAGGAAGAGATTCGGCAATTTGGTCTCATTTAATTCTTCTGACTCCTGGTTGGCCAGCAGGCCGAGGAGCTCACCCAGCCAGCTGACAGGCTTCAGCAACACGTCACAGCTACGTGTTTCAGCCGTCTGTGTCAAGAGCTGCCTCCTGTCCTCAGTTCCCGAACGTGCTCTGTGACTGAGTGCTGGTTCTGATGCCAACGAAATCAACCACATGGCTTTGAGGACTTTAAATGCACGATCGTTTAAAACTTAAACATTCAGTTCTGTGTAAGAATGACAAACACTCATGAAAAATACTTCTCCTTCTTATGCGAGTAAAAAAACCTCATACAAACTAAAATGACCAATGGTCAAAATGGTCAAGACTCCAGGCTTAGAGCACTTAATGTACCATGTCAGAGAAGAGAATGCTAAAAGACTTAAAGACTTGTTAATTTAAACTAAATCCAAACCTGCCTTTGTAGTCTTGCCTGCCCCTTTTCTGACTTTATAGTCCCCAGATCCACAGATCAAATCAAAAACTGGAGTGTAATCTTCTTTGACATCAATGGAGGTACTATCTCACTTTTTTTTATAATTTGGATGTTTACATTTCATCACTGCCCCACTTTAAGAGACATTTTCAGGATTTCTACAAACATAACAAGAACAGTTTTCATTTTCCTTGTCATTTTGTATTCTTGTGGAGACTGATCAACAATATATCAATCCAGATCAAGGGGGTCACTGTTTTCCCTTTATTATTATTGTACTGAACTCGCGTTAATGGAGAACCTAATGCAGAATAAAGCCATGTACTTCCAGATTGAGAGACACCTTCCTGCAAACTGTCAGATTACTGATCTCTATACCTACCACTGACTCAGACTGATGTGTTTTTGCACACTGCTTCTGCTGAGTTTCCTTTAAATTGAGTGTAATTTAACTTTGTTGTTGTACTGTTTTTTTCAATGTTTCCTTTATGTCTGTGTATTGAAGTACACATGGAATTAATCATTACATTGCACTTGTTTTTAATAAACAATAATAAATATCTTGCACTTGTTATTTTGCATATGACAAAATAAATTGATCTTTGAAAATACAGTGATTCTCACACCAATCCCACACCAAAAAAACTTACGAACTCAGAGAAAACTCAGAGGAACCTGCAATGTTTTCTCTACAAAGGCACAGTGATAATCTTCTGTGTTTATCTTCCTACACTCTGACAGCTGGATAAACAATCACTTCAATTAAGACCAGGGCAGTTCTTACTGACACACACACACACACAAGAGAGGGTATTACACTACAGGGCTTCGGTTGAATATATCCTTTGGAAACCACTTATTTTCCCGAAAAATGGCTTTGGGAAAACATGAGCATACGCCGCAGGATCCAGAAATGGAAAATTGCTCCTGCAGCAGTTTCCTTAACTGTGTTTGTGTTGTTGTGTTTCAATAAAAGCCAAAAAAAAAGAACCTCAGAGAAAAGAAAAACCCTACCTCTAAATCCGTTTCCCATCTATTGATGTCGTCGGTTGACTGATTCAACTTTTCGAGTTCACCCTGTTGAGGGGTAGGGGAAAGAGAGAAGACATCATTAACCGTGGAAAGGAAACAAGACGCATACGGAGCTTGTTAAATCTGGCAAAGAAAGCTTTGATTCAACATTTTCCCAGAGGCATAGTGTAAAACTGGCTTAAAAAAAAACCAAAACGCCATTTCCTACCAGCTGTTACTACCCGTCCGCCACTGCAAGACTTACAGGCAAGGAAGGAAAAGCAGTCGCTGTTTAATTTCATTAGTAATGTTCATTAAGACCTGTATGTCAGCTACAAAACACAAACTTGAGCACGGAGCAGCTGTCACTAAAAACTATGAATTCAATAACATGAAAATCCTCACTTTAAAAAGATGTCTTTTTTTTTCGCCGTTTTCCTTGCACCAAAGACCAGCAGATCTATAAAATATTCACGGAGCTAAAACCCGCACTAGAAACATTTGAATAAAACGCGTTCGGACACAAGAGTGACAGATTCACAGTTTAGTTGTCTTAATGCAGCGCTAACTCCACTGTGTTCTTTCTTCAGCTCCATTGCTGGAGATGGTAATTAAGCAATTACAACGCCCCAAAGACACCATATCATAAGAGTACAGCCAGCACTCCTCTTAAAAAGAGAGCTCATCCCACCGACAGCTCCAAATGAAAGAATATTTCATGCTTCTGTGGGCAGATGTAAAACAAATGTGAGAACTCTGAAAGGTACACATATTACAGAAAAGAGAAGGACGGTATAGCAGAATTGGTTAGAAAAGAAAGAGCAGTTAAAGAAATGCCCAGTTACTCCAACAATGTAATGATTAATTCAAAGCACAAAGCGTTGACTGACACTGGTCAGTATGAATTGACAACACACTGCAAGCAGCATTCTTTCCTGTTCTTATCAATTACATGAACTGGATGACAAAAGCAATAAAAAGGCTCACAACCCTAGCAAGCATAAAAACAACGACCTCTCTAGCATGTACGCGTAATCCAGTCTGCTTGCATACTTTTGTTGGCGTCTGTCCGTTAACAAAGAGCAGAAAAACGGCTTGAGTTGACAGACACTGATAGCATCAGTACAGTAATTAAGCGCGGCTGCAAGATTAATTCGGCTAAATCAAATGTAGTACTATTGAGGACCGTTACGGTGCAAAAACGGAGCTTCTGTAGAAGGGCTAATGACATGGAATTAAAAATGATTCCCTTTATCTCATCAAGATCGTAGGGTTAGTGTTAAGGGCCTACTGTTATAATAAAAAAAAGACTTTGTTTTATTCTCGTTTATTAGGAATAGATCGACTCAAACGTGGCGATACATCCTAGTCCATGACAACATTTGGCCGATAAGACCGACTCTGCTCCGCGGCCACGGCGCACTGACTGCGCCCGGAGACAGCGAAGCTCCGCGCCGGGGAGATGCTGTTCGGGCACAGGGAGGCTGAAAGACTCTTGACGGGGCAACACAGACCCGCCACCAGTCAGTTGTCAGCCACATTACAGCCCCGCAAGGCACAAACCTGAGCCCACACGGGCAACAGGATACACACGCCACCGCCAATCCATACAGTGCGTCCACGTCTTCAGAGCAGGTCAGCGCAACACAACGACGCAAAAAAAAAAACACACCACCAAACTCGGGAATATAAATATATTGCTTCCGCGTACCTGAATTCTAGGGTCGACTTCTTCTTCTTCTTCTGCTGCTGCTTCCTCCTCTTCTTCTTCATCCGGCGACTCAATCTCTTCGTCTGATTTGGGTCCCTTTTCCACGCTGTCCATTTTGCCGAATGCAGTAATGTCTTTTCCCTTTCCCCAGGTCGGAAACTGGGGAGGCTGAGGTCGTTCTCCAAGCGCCGCCGCGACCACTCTGGTTCCCTCCCCACCACTTCAGCAATAAGGCATATGGGGAAAAGATATCTTTAAACACAAACGCAAGGAGTTAAGGATTAGCTGAGGTCTGCAACATTCAAAACCCTCAAGGAAGCTGAAACACAGGAGGTGCCCCTTTCTCCGGACAAACTGGCTTGAAATAAGAACCTGAGCGCTCCGCCTATCCCCGCCCCCCTTTCCAGATTTTGCTAGGCAATCCCCGAGATGGACGTACAGAAAATATTGTAATTTTCCTGCCGGGCTCTTATTTGGCTCCGCGAATCGAAGGGAACGGCGCACGACGCAGGAAGCAAGCCGCCGTCCTCCGTGTCATCTGCGGCCCCGCACGGTGTGGCGACGCCCGCTGCGCTCCGACTTGATCCAGAAGGCTTCCCCTCTCGTCTCCGGCTCCTTCTGCCGCCCCCCCCCTCCCTCCAAGCACACAAAAGCGAGGGCGATGAAATCGGAAAAAAACGATTAACCCTTTCGACCGGGCCGGCCGCCTATTGTAATTAATGGATGTCCTCCCTGTTTTGCTATGCTGTTAATAATCGGATCGCGCACTCCTCTCCATTTACATCTCAGCGCAAATCACATGGCAATAAACTGCTATATTAAGCACGCAGAGGTCCCAACTAATCCTGCAGTACCTGTCTTCCGTTCTTTTGAGTTATAGTACACACTGCAGTAATTACAGCAGTCATGTCCTGTAATCTCACTGACAGGGGGGTTACTAAACCCCAGGGATAGGAGAGAGTTGAAGCCGACGTTCCCCAAGTTTTCTTCAGAGGAAAAGAGTGGTCTGTCTCTCCCTAGCGGTCGGTAGACGGAGCACATCTGAAACCTAAATTAAGCAATGACGGAAGGGCTTTATTGTGAACTGGCGTTGCGCAATTGCTCTGTAATGCTGTTGGTCTTATACTGTACACCGGTATAGGAAAAAATGAAAAGCTGAGTATAGAAAAGAAGAGTGTATAAAACAGCAGCCTCCTCCTGATTGCTGTTATTGCTCTATTCAGTTTGTTTTTATTTTGGTCTCGTATCTCTGGTCTGTATCAAACATAATGATATAAATTACCTGAAGAAGGCTTCTCAGCCGAAACGTTGTGTTTTCTCTCTTCCCTTTTCAGCATGGAATAAACCTGTAACTTGTTCCTTGGCAGTCTACGCACGCTGACGCAGCTCCCCATCTGAACTGATCATATAAATGACTCCCTGAACTCTGAATTCAATACTGTTAAGTCATGACGTTCAACATACTGGATGGGAGAGTTTGTTTACAATCTCTGGTGCTGTCCTGAAGAGGTTCCGGTCATACCCTGCCTCTTGTTACACGGTGATCTTCTTGTTTCTCTTGGGTTTACTTCTGAGGCTGTTAGGTCTGGCGCTTCACAGGGTTCAACACCAGGCGCTCTGCTATTTCAGTACTTATTCGGTATTATTTGCTATTCAGTATTAACCTGTACATTACAGTTTCTCCTTGGTGCAATACTAAAATTACGTTGTCAGAATTGCATTTCTATGAAGATGACAGTCAAATTAATGTCCACATTAAAGCCAAAATAGTTGTTTCAGCACTCTACTCATTTCTGGTGCCAATTTGCTGTTACAACTGCCATATTGCTCTCTCTTATCTACTAACCCCACTGTTACACACTCTCCTATCTACTAACCCCACGGTTACACACTCTCCTATCACTAACACCACTCTTATATGGCACAATATTCACACGTAATTCTGTATCTCTACCGTTCTGTGTTGTCAAGAGCGGTTCTGAAATAGGAGGCACACCAGGCCACATCATTAAAGACCCCTCTGGGAGCATTTGACCCACAGATCCTAGAGATAGGGGTAGGATTGTGATGAAAAAGTATGAAGTTTAAGCAGCTGTGGATAGCCGTAGAGATCTTTTATCAGGCAAAAACAGAGAACTTTGGAAACCTGAAAAAGTCTGATCCGAATAGGTGGTTTTATTAAAATTGTGGGAGTACTGGTTAGAGCCCCTGGTTTGTAATTAGGAATTACATCCAGGAATTAAATCAAATCCCAGATGATGCACTGCTGTAATACAGTACAAAATACAATTTTTCAATTTTCCTCCAGGGCCACTGTGCTGTCAATTTATACCAAACATCTCTTCCTCTTAATAAGGCTCTTTTTGTTGTTGGGATTATTTGGTAACCAAGGAAACAATAATGGGCGTAATGTGTTCTTCATCCAAGGACAGGCAAAATGTTTTTTTATTTGGTGAGCTCTTAGATCAGTTACAAAAGCTGGGTACAGATTTCTGTGAATAGTGCTGGAATCCGCCACTGTCTACGCAGAAAACCCATGACCTCAGATTAATGTGTCATGATCATGGAGGCAACGCCTTCTCCCTGCAGCTGTGCCGTGAGCTTCTGGCGCAGAGAGACCTGCTTTAGTCAGCAGCTCCCTTGTTCACCACGAACTTCAAGCCCTGCTTGCACTGAGTGGTCCTGCTGCACACTTGGCTGGACCACACTTTTCTCCCCGACTAGACCCCAGACTTTCAGCTCAGCTCACACAGCCCGCAGCTACAACCTCTTTACCTGAGACGACAAATCTGAGGGCAGGACAAGGGCCAGACTGAAAGTTTGTGTACCTCTGCTGAAGGTCCCTAAAGTGGCAGCAAAGCAATTTGATTTGATGTCATACTGGACTTGTTCTCCAACAAATCCCGATACAACAGGATGTAAAGCATTCCAACTCCCCACCTCTTCCTTCCCTACTTTCCTACACGATCTACTGTACTTTCGGCATAAACGTACTTCAGTCTCCACCACAAGCTCACGTTCGATTTTCTGGTTGAATCTGTGAGCTGGATCAATTACTGTACACATCCGAAAACGGTCCATTCCCAATCACTTCCTATCCCTACAAAAAGTTCACCAATAATTTGCTTGTGTATGTAACAGAGTGTGTTGATTCTTGTGCCAACGGTAGGTAGGCAATTTCCATATTTGAGCTGCAGGGGCGCATCAGGGCGGAGCTCATCCTGGTTTCTGGAGGGTTAAGCAGAGTAGAGCAAGAGCAAGTGACATCCCCCAGGACGGGAGAGAAAATCAGGGATTACTCCCAGCAGTGCCAGTCCCCCATTTACACAGCTGGGCGGGCTGGAGCCACTGGGGTACAGTGCCTCTCTCAGGGGTACAGCAGCACTGTCTGCATGAGTACTGGCACTTACCCACTGGGCTTCCCACTCAGAGTCCAAGACAGCCATTCAAAATGAAGACTGAAACTGACAGGTTGTGTGGGGCTTCATTTCAACTTTAGACCATGGAAATGATTTTCTAAACTGGACTCATACAGTCAACCAGGCAACTAAAAACACATGTTTCAGCGTCTCCTGCCGCCTGGGAGTAATATGCCCTGCTCCTTCTCTCAGCTTTCATACTCCCGTCCTGTAATGCACATCCTCTAAAGGAATATCGAACTGGCCTTGCATCCGAAACCTGTCTGAACAGGAAGGACATAATCGAGGATGTGACATTTCACTGCGAGCAAGAGGCACCAGTGGTGCCAGACAGGACGACAGGACTAGACGCGTCCCAAAAAAAGCCCTATCCCGGGCTCTGGAGGCATGACAGCCAGACCACGAGTTACTGGGAAGGAAAACGCACATCACAAACACCACAGCTCGGGCACACCGAATTCCTTGTGGATATCACCAGGAAGGAAAAAGGTGTGTGCTGAGATTTAGAGTTCAAGGATGAGAATATATAAAGTACCTTTCTGCCTGGACAAAGATGACCCACACCTTGCCTTGTTTTCTGCAGATACTTGTAGCACATCAAATAACCTAAAAAATGCTAAAAACATCATTGAACATCAAAATTCGATATCGACAGAGCAGAGTTTGCTGGAGCAATCTGGACTCTAGGGATCTGAACCCCTGTCCCAGCCGTCAGGAGAACACAGTTCTAACCATTACTCCACACTGCATTCTTTTACAGCATCTGTGGAAACACCTTAGCCCTGTAATCTTCCAGACTGGCTCAACAGTGTGCTGGAAGATCCGTGAGATGTTTAATCCTCTTATCCTTGCTTTTTTTTTTATTTAACAAAAACAGTACAGTGGAAACACGATACACATGTTTCATTACAGGTCTTTGCATACACATCAAAAGATAATTTAAATAGAGAATTCTTCTTTCCGAGATAAAATCACTTGAGCTGTGAAAACCTTAAGGCTCCCTTCCACAAGCAGGTAAAGTGTTGTATTTAAAATGGACATGAAATCCTATGCTGGTCAGAAGAATGAGATCGGTTAGAATTCTGCCAAGAAATTCACAAATAAAATCCCTCCTGGGTTTTTTCAGATACAAAGTCTTTTCTTTCCGAGTAGCAGCATCACCATCAGGCTGTTTGTCAGAGTGGCTTCTTGAATTTGCCTTGAAGAAAAACTCTTGGGACACAAAGCCCCTCTCTCTTGTTGACAGTTTCTCTGAGGACGTACTCGTTCACCAGGGTCTCGTAACCCACCGCTGTAAACAGATCCTCCAGGAACTCTAGACAGAAAAGTACAAGGAACAAAATAAAAGGCAGGTTTTACACACTATAAAACATCACATATAGAGAAAGCCTTTCATTCTTTCTATTTTTATATAACTATGTATGTAGTAGTTATAGCTATACAGTACAGCAAATTTGTTTTGTGTTTATGTCTTTTTTGTATAAATCCTATCTTGCCCCTGCTTAGGCTTGGCTACTAAAATGTGTTTTAATTTTTTTTAGAGAACCTGAAGTTGAAAGGGTGACAGAACAGCATCGATGGCTTGAGAATGTCTGCTACTCACCTTTAGAAAAGAAGAACGATCTGGTACCATCTTGCCTCACATAGAAGTTCTCTCCAAGCTTGCTCCCGGATTTAAACCTCAACATGGCGTGATCGTGCAGTCCGTAGTCCCTGAACAAGACAGTGCCCCCTGGTTTCAAGACCTGCCCACCCCGATGAAGAAAAACAAAACAAAATATCATATTGTCTTACAGCGTGGAACTTTGACATTATAGAGGACTTTGTGTTGATGAGTGGCAAAAAGTCTTAGTTAAATACATCATGGTTCCATGCTGTAACACAATAAAACGTAAAAAAGTCCAAGGGGGGTGAATACTTTTGCAAGGCACTGTATATGGAGAAGATTTAATGGAGAAAGATTCTAGCTTGAGCCATTTAAACCTTCTTTTTCTTCACTGAGAGGAAGACCACTTCTGTACTTACTCTGTAGATGTTTTCAAGGGCCAGGCGCATTCTGTCTGGGTGTATAGCAGACAGCACGAATATGAGGGTGGCAGCATTCACACTTTCCAGTGGGATATTCTTTGACAACTCATCCTTGGTCAGGTCACACTGGAAAGCCTCGCATCTCTCGGCGTTGTACAAGGGGTTTTGCTGAATTAAAACAGTGGCATCAAACAGATACATTATAATAGACTAGAAAAACACGATCTCACACTAAGCCATATTTAATATATTCAAAGGAACAAGTTATAGGGGTGAGGAACACCCGAAGAACACCCAAATCCTTCCACCTGAAGAAGGCTCCACAGCCGAAACATTGTGTTTTCTTTCTTCTCCTTTCAGCATGGAATAAACCTATTACTTGTTCCTTTGCAGCCTACACATGCTGACGCAGCTCTCCACCTGAACTACTTTAAAACATTCAGATGGTTTACTGATAAACATTGTACATTATCATGCTTCAAAAGAGTCTGAGCACAATGGGAGTATAGTGCTTTTTATGATACATCATTTCAAAGTGCATTACAAAAATAATTAAGACAACTGTACACAAATGAGTACAGTAAAAATAAAAAAGTGAGTTTTAAGACAGTATTTGAAGGTGTTGAGTGACTTGCAAGATCTGATATTAGCTGGGAGATCATTACAAATGCTTGGAGCAACAGAACAGAAAACATGGCCTCCCAGTGTTCAGAGCTTTGTTCTGTGAACTGAGATAAAGACAGACTCCAAAGAGTGTGTATGCCACATCCGTACAGGGAGTTAAAAATGCACTGCTGAAGTCAGAAGTAAACTCATTCCTTGATGAGAAGCAGTATTTTCAGTCTTATTCTGAGATTGTTCAGGTGGGTAGCTGCGTCAGCTTGCGTAGTCTGTAGTCCTTAATTTATTCAAGCTTTATGCATCTTGAATATCTGACAGTTTGTACACATTTTGTTAACTGCAAAACATTATCACCTGTGACTATGTCATGCTGACGACCATGTGATATAACAATGTTTTAGATCATTACCTAATTAAACCCGCATTGCGTACAGTGCAGGGAAACGCACACTTCTTACAATGAATCCCATCTTAATTTGGCACTTAGCAGGAAAGACAAAATAATTGCAATTTTTACAGTGTGGCCTTGATGCTGAGGCATTCCAGCACTTCACAAAACTAAAAACAGGACAAATCTCAAAGACAAATTAACAAAAACCACATAACAATGCATTAAAACATTTTCAGGTTAAATTAAAAAATAAATAAAGGTTTCCACATTTAATATGTCCAATTGACATTCATTGTCTGAACTGCCAGTGGGTTCTGAATCAGCAAAAAATATAAGACTATAAATATTTCTTCCAGTTTACTTACTTTCACAAACTCCACTGCCCTTGGGGAAAAGTCACAAGCATACACAAAGATATTGAGATCTTCTTCCAACAGTGGGAATATACAATTTCCAACTCCACAGCCAGCTTCTAACAGGATCAGTTTTTGAGCCTCAAACTGAAACACACAAATGTTAATAGGAATATAAATACTGACGTTTTTAGTTTTCAATGAATTTTGTGGGGAAAAAAATACTTTGCCTCATTGGCTGCTCATGAATACCACATTAAGAGATGGTAACTTTACACTGAAGGATAGAAGGCATAAGATTTCTACAATTTCCATAAACCAAAACCAAAACCATATGGCATTTATTACAGGCCCAACAAAGCCAATAATGTAAATTAACCTTCCTTGTCATTCTACATTGACTGAATTAATATTCTGAAACGGAACAACCAGGAATTGTCAATACACATGACCTCAATGAGTCTGCCTTATCAGTCTTAAGGACAAGTTCTAAAATGGATCTTTTACAAAGACAAAAGTATGTAATGATATATATGCAATGATTTACAAGTTGAATAAACCTATAATGTGGTAGTCAATTGTCCTCCACTTTATGCTTAATTATCAATCCAATCTTCAACTGGGGTAAATAAACAATTCAGAAGCAATTAATTGGAAGGTTTAAAGTTCTGTAATGGGACGCAAGGCTGACTACCCCTACACTCCAAGCATCTCACTTTACTTTGATGAAGATCAGGGTTGAACACACAAGGAACAATTAAAACGCAGCATCAAACTTCGAGCTGATATTATTGCTTTGGCCTCAAGGACACAAAGCTGATCAACATATTTGTGTTCTCTCGAATTGACTGCTGTAATGCTCTACTCGCTGGGGTACAAACTCCTGTATGTCCAAAATTCAGCAGCCAGAATCCTGACCAGGTCTAGAGCAAGTGATCATATTACTCCTATCCTGGAGTCCTTGCACTGGCTTCCTGTCAAATTCCGTGTGGACTTTAAAATCCTCATGCTCACCTATAAGGCTCTGCTTGGCTTGGCACCTCAGTACCTGTCTGAACTATTATCGCCCTACTCCCCACCTCGCAACCTTCGCTCTTCTAATTGTGCCCTCCTTACTGTCCCCCAAGCCCATCTACATTGTATGGGTGACAGGGCCTTCTCCTGTTATGCCCCCAAGCTCTGGAACTCTCTCCCTAAGGATATCAGAGAGTCACCTTCTCTAAACTCCTTTAAATCCAGACTCAAAACCTTCTTCTTTAGAAGAGCCTTTAGTTAACTGGTTCCATTCTTTACCCCTCTGCTTCTGCTTTTCATAGTTCCACCATCCACAGTCTCCTCTGTATATTGTAATTGTGTTTTATCTTGTGTATTCTTTTTATTTATTGTTGTTGCCATTCTGTAAAGTGCTTTGAGAAGCCACCTTTAAAGGCGCCATATAAAATGGAGTTTATTATTATATTGTTATAAGGACACAAATCCACCTGCCATACCTCTCTGCACGCTTGGAGCTCCTCAAACTCTCTTGTGGTCCAGTGCCTGTCTTTGAAAAAGTTTGTACTGTTTCTTTTGTAGAACAAGTCCCAGTTTCTCTGTGCCTCCTTCTCGAGCTTCTGCTGCTTGAAGTCCGACACTAAACATTGGTCTCCTTTCAGTTTCGCCCTCTCCTCCGGTGACAGAGCCCTTGCACAGTGTTCCTTTCTCTGGAATACTGCCTCAGACACCTCAGAGTCCGCAAGCCCAGCTAACTGTGTCCCAGTTGAAGGACTTGCACTGTCGCCTTGTGGACCGCAGGCATCTTCAGAGTCTATGCCCTCCATCCTAAGTGGCATACAGAGTTTTTTTTTTGCACAAACTACAAAAAAAATAAAAATAAAACCGAAGGAAACAGAAATTTGCAACAAAAACAAAAAACAAAAAAAAAACAGCTAATCGTTCTATCGCAAAGACTCAATTGAACTTGAAGAAAACAAAACACATACAGTGTGCAACTGCATTTTCTAAAATTAAGGGAATGAATGGGTTACCCGAATAAAATAATCTTAAAATTGTACGCAGTACTAAACGTGTAAAATTCTTACACGTGCCTCAGTTAACCACTCGTATTTTGAAAGCAACTGTACGAACGGGGACGCAACATTTGCTTTTTTGCTCCATAATAGTTATTTTGTACAGTTACTCCATATAACATACTTTAAACATGAATGCGTAAAAACTGAGGTCCAACTATTCCAGTTAAAATTCCACCCGGAATATTACAACTAAAACATCCTTTCCGTCGATTAATTTAATCCGTGTTAAACCAACTAAAAATATTGCGTTCCTGCATTATTTTGATTGATGATTTTGCAAAAAAAAAACTTGTTGTTTATATTTTATTGCTGTAATTCAGTTTACTTTATTTCCGTATTACAGTTGCAGTACTTTTCCCGTGTTATGGATATGAAACTGAATAATTAAATTGTCTTTGTAGGTAAATGTTCAAAATGGGTTTTTTGTGCAACGCACTGGCAATTAGATTATACAAACACAAATCATGAAGATGTTCAAGTTTTTAAAAATTGCCTTTATTATCAGTTCATTCTCATGACGTTGAAACTTCCAGTTTTCCAGTTTGGTCTCGATGTTGTCATCGGCGACATTTGTGTGTCGGACACAAACAGGAAGAGGAGTGTTTGTTATGCTCGGCCTCCTGCAACTGGGAATCCTACAATCTGGTTTTATGTCCCACGACTTTTTTTAAACGTGTGTGCCGCTGCATTTTTTATTTATTTTTTTATTAATGTGAATCGGACATTGAAACTGGAAACATGAATGGGAGTTCTAACCCGTTGTTAGACAAAGAGCATGTCCTGAAGCTCGGAGAGAGCTTTGAAAAGCGTCCGAAATCATCATTTCACACCATCAGGTGTAAGTGTGAAACTTTTACGTTTATTCACAATAATCCTGTTGTTAACACACGAAGTCTCAGCAAAGTTTTAGACGTTATAAAGGCTCTAAATGTTGTTTACTTGTAGGGCTAATTACACGTATGTGCAGTGATAATACCTATCTTGGGGAACGGAAAGGTTAGGGAGTAAAATTAGTACGCTGTGAATTCAGAAAGGGATTTCTTTGGTGGCTCCTCGTGAATTTAGAACGTCTAAAAGTTGGAATCCTGATTTTTTGTCATTTTCAGAGCATAAGTATATTGGTTAAGAAGGTAAGATGTAAACATGATAGAATATTTTTTTTTAATTATACTCCTTTCTTTATGGGCTGTATTGTTAAATAAGGAGAATGATCTCCATGGATATGATTTTATAATTATTGTATTTACTAATCAGTTAAACTCGACCAAGGCAGCTGTGTGATGTGATTCTAGAAAGGAGTGTAGGTTCAAACCCTGAACGTGATGCTGCTGTTGTACCTTTGAGCAAGGTGTTTCACCCACAGTTACTCCAGCCAGTACCCCGCTGATACAGATGAGCGCACTACAGGTGTACTCTGGATAACTGAAGACTTTAACACAGTCTCAGATAACAGCTACTGGCTGTAAAGGCCTGGTGTTACTGTATGTGTGTTCTGAACCTGGGCTTCTGTCTTGGTGGAGTTTGCATGTTCCCCCTGCTCATGTGGGTTTCCTCTGGGTATTGTGGGGAAACCGGCACAGGTGCGAGCGTGTGTGTCTGTGATCTGCGATGATCTGGTGTCCCACCCAGGGTGTGCCCTGCCTCGCACCCCTTGCTGGTTGGGATTGGCTCCGGCTTCCCCGTTACAAGATGGATGGGTGGTGTGATGGGGCGAGGAGAAAGGTTTTCTTTCTTTGGTGCGAAAAACGTTTTGGAATGAAAGTGCAAACATCGCAGATGGCTGTCAGAATTCATTCCGCATCCTGTGCTCCCCAGATGACTTTAAACCAGCGTCCATCGACACATCTTGCGAAGGGGAGCTCCAAGTAGGCAAAGGAGATGAAGTCACTATCACTCTACCTCACATTCCGGTAAAGCCCAGTCTTCACCATGGCTCATCAGGCTACAGACCTAAAATGTAGTTTGTAGTGGTCGTTAGTGGTTAATTTAATGCATGGCTGCTGATTCCAGATCTCTTGATTCTAAAATGAATTTCTTTTTCTTAAACTGATCTCTAGAAGTTGGTAAAGTTGTAAATTATTAACTTTTTACTGAAAAATTGAAATTATGTCAAAACTTGGGAGAGTCTTACTTTAAAATATTGATGTAGAATATAATTTATTACGGTGTGTATAACATTTTCTAAATTAAAGTTGTGTTGTTGTTGTTGTGGTTTTTTTTTTCCATTTTAAGGGCTCCACACCACCAATGACTGTGTTCAAAGGTAACAAAAGACCATATCAAAAAGACTGCGTGCTGATCATCAACCATGACACAGGGGAGTTCATGCTGGAGAAACTCAGCAGCAGCATACAAGTGAAGAAAACCAGGTAAGAGCCATGTAACAAAATATACAGTGCCCGAAAAGACGTTAAACAGTTGATTCATAATGCACCTCAAAGCCAAATGTCGAAGTGTTTTGTTTAAAGAGCAGATAACACTCTTGCTTACAGTGTACCGTGATGGCAAATTAAATTATTCTGTGCTGTTGTGTTTAAATCATCTTGCTGTTCGGTTTCAGAGCTGAAGGCAGCAGTAAAATACAGGCAAGAATAGAACAGCAGTCAGTACGGGCAACTCAGCCTCCCGCACAGTTCAGAGCTCCCACCAAGCCTGGCGTCGGGGCTAAAACCTCCCCTACTAAAGACAACCCCTCCCCCGAGCCCCAGCTGGATGACATTAAGAGAGGTAGGTGCCCATTGAAGATTCTGTATTGTAAAACAGATTAAACCATCAGAACACATTGTAACCTTTATTTGCAGGATTAGCCAAAAACAATTTATCCGTTGGGCAGGTGGGTCCTTCATGATCAGTGGCCACAACACAAAAGAGTTTCCTTTTTCAGGATTGTTTGCCTGTTCTCTGATACAAACTCTGATAAAGCCTTTGGGGTTACAGATTGGGCCGCAGTCACTCAGCACATAGGCACTGGGCTCGAACCCGGACTGAAATGCCTTCTGTCTGCAGTGACTGTGTTCACCTCAGGTGGTCATGGGTTTGTGCTGCTTTGTCGGGGTTAATTAATGCGTAGGGATGTGTCTTGCATTAAACTGGCATCCCATGCGGGTGGTCTCCAGCCTTGTCCCTTCTGTTTCCAGGAAACTGGGTTAGCTGGGGCTTCACCACAAATAAGTGATTTCCTGACAATGGAATGCAGTCCCATTGCAATTAAAAAAATTGTGGATATTGCTGTGCAAAAAATAAATAAATTGATCCAGCAATGAGGACAAAAAGTGTGACCATACTCTGTAGTCACCCACTCAAGCTGTATCAGCAGTTTGACTGTCGAAGTCCAGAGAGGGCCTGTCAGCCACACCCTGCTACATGCATACCAGTGCTTGAAAAGAAACATCTAACTAAAGGGAAACAATGCTGTTCATTCTTGTCCACATTGCCTCATCCTAGAAATCTGGGCAGGGCAGGGCAGGGCGGACCCCCCTGTCCCCAGCTGCAGGCTCCGGCTCCTCCCCCTCTTGAGTATCTCAATATACTGTATGATCACTGCAGTCCTGTCCCAGAGTCTGGTTCATGTGTGCACTAACCGTCTACGTATATACATTTGTTCATTACTGAGACAAACGTGCTGAAGGGAAGATGATCTATTATTATCTTAGAAGGTGGGTAATACCAGGACTTTTTTTACTCATAGATTCCTGTTTCTCAAGGGAATATAGAAGAGCAGCACTCAGGTGTACGGAGGGAAACAGTTCAGGTTTAGCCTTTTCGGGTCCTCATTCTTTTTGTACTGCCAGTAGAGTGTGGTAGGGGCACTCTGCCGCTCTGCGGCCCGCGGGCGCGTCAGAGGGCAGAGAAGGAAGTGTCGGTGTCGGTGCTCCCGCCCGTGCAGAGCTGCGCGCGGAGGTGGAGATCATCGAGCAGATGAGCAGCAGCAGCGGGGGCAGCAGCTCCTCGGACTCGGGCAGCTCGTCGGGCAGCGAGGACGACAGCTCCAGCAGCGCCGGGGAGCAGGAGGACCCCCAGCCGCGGCACGGCGCCCGCAACGGCACGGGCCGGCCGCAGGGCAGCCACCAGCTCATGAGCACGCTGAGTGAGTACGCCGGGGCCTGCTTCGATAAGCACCTGGACTTCCTGTTCCTGCAGGAATCACAGGAGCTTTCCATCCGCCTGAGCTATCGTGTCATAAAACAGAGGGAAATAAGCAGCCTTCTGCTAAGCAATGCACTTAGGTTTCGGCATTAACACCCAACCTATGCAGTAGCTCCTGTTTTTTCACAGTCCTGCCAGAGATGTTTAAGGATTATCTGTGAAAGATTAAAGAAACAAAGTCTGGATAACACTGGATTTTCAACAGGACTTGATTGGACTAAGCGATATTAACAACTAAAACTGACAGAGAAATGAATCGGGATGTTGAAGTCCCAGCAGTCCCCGTGGAGTAATGTGTTGTTTTTTGCCTTAGGAAATGACCTGCAGCTCAGTGAATCTGGAAGTGACAGTGACGACTGAGCCCTGGGTCCTCTCTCATCGCAGCGACTTGAGTCCAAGCGAGGATTACCACGAGGATATGTTTTTACGGCCTGATTTTAGTGTATTTTAATATCACACAAGCCTGTCCAACCCGGAAGTGTTTTAGATTGTATTTTCTTACGTATGTAATTCATTATCTTTAGATGCAATCTTCTAACATGAGAAGAGTTTGCAAGTAGTGATATTATGAATACATACATAAGGATTTTATATTTATTTTTGTCCACTGTGTCTTTATACCCATATAACATTATAAGGGAATAGAATATATATATATATCTGGAAAGAAAAAAATCATTCTTTTTTTCTCATGAAAGTCTAAAGCCTTTACTAACAGCTTAGAACACTGTGCTGCTGGACTTGTGTTATATCAGTATCAGCAAAATTAAGCTCTTAATTTTTATACATGAACATGCCCCACAGAAGAAATATCACATAAATCTATGTTGTTTTTTGAACCCCTTCGTTTTAACATGTCATTATTAAACTGCATGTTAAAACTGCTCAGTTTTTGTGAATTAACAGCCACACTAGTCCCTGAAATGACCGAGCTCTGAACATTGTGCATGAGAGTTTCCTGAACCCGGGGTTGTTCCACAGAACAGCACGTAACATCACATTCTTTTCCCGTTTCCTTCCTGAAAATAAATCCTGATGGAGCAGTTAGGGTGTCCTGAGTGTAGTCAGGTTGATTTTCAAGTGTGCTTGAGTATAACAACGTACATCATAGGAAAAAATACTTTAAAAAAAGACTGGTGCCAGCATCTAAAATGGTGAAATGAAACATTTAACATATGAAACTTCCTTTGCTTATTTGCCTTTGTTCGTAGCAGTTCCACCCATTACTTTTGAACTGCAGACTTGGTGTTTAATTGCACCTGTGGCTTGACAGATACCTCAGCTTCTTACCAATAGCAACCCACACTCAAGTACAAGACCTGCAATTTGTGGTTGGGTCCAAATCCTTGGTCACTTAATTTATTTGTTCAAAATGCATAATCAATTATTTTAGAGAAAGAGAAGCTGTGTTTGAATGATTATCGGTAAACAATTCTGTTGACAAAAGTGTTAAAATGTGTAGTTCAGAATATTGGAAATATATTAAATAGGAGCAGAGTGGAAAGAGAAGTTACTTTTAAAGAGAGTTTTATTCTCTTAATATTGTGTATATAAGCCAGACAGCTACTAACACATTCTTTAAATGGAAAGGAAGAGCACAGGGGTACAGTTGACATTTAAATAACAAAGGAAAAAAACAAACAGTTATTTAACTACAAAAGTGACTTCAGTTTGATATATCCTGTACATGAACAATGTATCATATCTAGTTAATCCTCTTCTGGCCAGATTTGTAAAATTGTGTAGTAATTTTTGTGTGCTTATTATTGTTAATTCTTTACATGTGTTTTGCACTTCAAGCACTGTATCTTTATTAAATTTTGAAACTTTTCTGGGGAGATCAAAAAAGGCCCTCTGTATTATTTCTAAATATTTCAGAAAAAAGTACTTCTAGTTAAGAAATGTTTTCATACAGTGCTTTGCAAAAGTAACCATCCCTTTCAGATGTTGTCTCATTTTGTTGAATTACAAGTGACACATTGTTTGACGTGAATGCTTTTACTCAAAACATGAATGCCCCAACTAAACACTTTCATGAATGAAAGAAATTAAAAAAATAAAAATAAAATACTGATTGCATTAGAACTCACCCTCTCCATCTCCATCTGTTGACAAGCCAGTCCCTGCTGATGAGAACCAGTCCCATAACATAAAGCTGCCACCACCAGTTGGTCTTAGGTCTTCTTTAGCACCTTATTGCTAGTCATTTCACAAAGAAGTATTTAACATGGACAGGACCAGTATTAAACAAATCCTTGACTTGGTTCCTGTTTAATGTTTATTTCCTGTTGTTAATTAATCAAAAAAAGTAAAAAGCTTTGTTCCGCTATAAAATTAAATGGAGTTTTCTAGTAATGTTACAGCCAGGTTTGGCATCCCAGATGACTGAAATGAGTTGGGGTTAATCACTCTGTCACTCAACACCAGCAAGGGCTTTGTGCGTGGTGGTGGGCAGATTTAGATCTTAGTTAAGCTAGGTCAATCTCCCTTTCTTGCTATAGCAACAGCTGTGTTGTGCTGTGACCTACCACTCTCAGTTTGAATGAACGCAGAACCCGGCTCTAAATTCCTGTTGTTGTGTGCATATCATCAGTTGCCATTTCTTCATTTTTGTCTTTATGCAGAATTTTGTAAACCGTATTTCTTCCAGGCTCTTTCTATTTTACAATTCCTAGGAGATTAATAAGAAGAATCTAGTTACTTGCTGTGGTATTACAGCCATAAATGGTAGCATGCAGCTGGAGGCACAGAATGCCCTGTGTCCTGTATTATGTAACATCTCCTTCCGAGTGAGCTGTGTTACAGGCGATCAGAGGAATGTTGCAGCCCTGATTGCAATACTGTGTTTCAACGCCTGTGACCATGTGTGTCTGCAGCAGCATGAGGTATTCACATCGGTCACACCTTCTAAACAACATGGGGAACCAAGAAATAAGCAAATAAAACGTGAAGAAATATAGTCAAAAGCTCACATTTTAATTATGCTAATATAATTATGGTATAAAGCAGTAGTAAAGCTTCATTTGTAAGGTTGTGGGAGTGTGGAACAAGCCACCCAGTTGTGTTGTCGATGCCGATGCCCCGGGTTCTTTCAAAACTCTGCTGGACGGGATCCTGTGATCAATTAACTATCAACTAGCAAACGATCTAGATGTGCTGAATGACCTCCTCTAGTTTGTAGCATTTGTTATGTAGTCCAACAGTTGCATTTGACGTGTGGGACTGGAGCAGGACAGATAGGACATTGCACTGAATCACATAAAAATAGGATTAGGTGGTAAAACACATCAGTTCTTTTCGTTTATGATTTCATCCCCTGTTTTGAACTTCTCATCCTCTGCAGCGCCCCGTGGTAAGGAATGATAAGCAGCCTCCTGCGTTCCCACACAGCAAATGTCATATAAAGGAGGCTCAGCACAAGCAGAAACTACTGAAGAGCTCCACTGCACTGTTGATGTGCTAATACAGGAATGCGTAACATTTTCAAGAAACATAACTGCCCCAAGAAGGCAGGAAACATTTGTTCCTATTTTAAACTGTAACAATTGTATCATATTCACTTGCAACTGGAGCGCACAGAAAAAGCCCAGACCAGATCTTCTGGGAAAACTGTTACAACAAGAACCACCGTGCGTTTGGCTAGACGTCTGAAGTCGGAGCACACTCGCTCTTCGCTCTCTTCTCTAGCTGCCTGGATATTCCTCGTCTCAAGCGGGTAAGCGGTGAAACGGGAGCGTGGTCGTCACGTTTTAGGTGGGTCACCGCGGTATTGCGGGCCAATCCCCCGATAACACCAGCGAGGACGCCGGCAGGCTGGCGCTGGCCGCCGGGCTGCAGGTTTCTATTGGCTGCAGTTCTCCGCCTGTCGTCACCGCGCCGGGCGAAGGACGTGACGTGCCCAGTCCTTGTGCGTGTGGCTGGCTGGCTGGCTGGCTCACTCACGGCGTCTGCAGGGCTTGTCTCCTCGGACAGCGTTTTGTGGGGGGTTTTATTTCACTGACGGACGCCCGAGCGCTGCCCGTGAAGCCAACGTCGATCGGATCCACCATGCAGGCGAGGTGCGGGTTTTAAGGAGGGACCTGCGTTGCACTGTTCCCCAGGAGAGCGTGGACACCCACCCCGGTGAAGCGGCGGCTCCGCACCCCCCTCTCCCCAGGTGTACAAACAGCTGACAAAAGAATGGATTTCAAGCAGCTGGTGGACATAGCAGAGAAATGGTGCACCGGCACCCCTTTTGATTTAATTGCTGCCGAGGAAATAGACGAGAGGCGGCTGGATTTTTACGCAGAGCCCGGACTTTCCTTCTACGTGCTGTGTCCCGATATGAACGGTGGTGCTGACAATTTTGTAAGTAAAATTCAACTGGGGGGGGGCAGGGGAGGTATTGTCAGGTATTGCCAGGATCCTGTAAAAATAATGCTCTAAGGCAGGCGCTTCAAACCCCCCGTGCGCACAAAAAAATGTTATTGTTGTTTTTTTTCACATTAAACGCCACACTGTAATTCGACGCACGCAGAATAGACGCGAGACAGACCGGTCGATGTTAAAAGCATGAAATTAAGCGGTGCCTGTCGGAATCAGGCGTTGCTTTTTGATTGCACTGTGTGTCCGTGAACCTCTGTTTTCCACCCTTCAGCCAGTGCTTTACGGTACCTAAACGGCAGGGCGTGTATGCGAAGGTGCAGGATGGTGTCGTCTCTTCTTCGTTCTTGCGTCCTCCGCTAGCTTCCCGGTAGACCAATAAACCGTCGATTACGGCATAACGCCAATCCCGGCAGTTTGGTTGGCCGCCTTTCCTTTTCTTTTAACACCGTCTTGTGGCGTTTGCGCCAGGATTCACGGGTTAGAGCCGCAACCTGTAGCCCAGCGATGACGCGCCTGTCCACACGGGGCTTCTGTCTGAAGGGGCGACGGCTCCCAGTTGGGCCCAGCTGGCCGAGCAGTCGTCTTTCAATGTCTCCGTTTCCGCCCCATAACGTGTATACATACCTACGTTAGATTCTGTGCACCGACAAGGTCAATACAATAAAGCTGAACAGGAAAGAAGTCAATGCAATACGAAATCCCCCTGCCCCAGCAACTGTTGTGTGTCATCTGATTTGCGTGAGATTTTTACATTCTGCAAGATCATTGCATCCTCAGTGTTAGTGAGTGGAGAAGGAACGAGATTGTACAGCCCTTGTGCTGTATACTCTCCAGGGGATGCAGACAGAGGTTTCGAATGACTTCGCCAAAATGGATGAGCTTTGGTTATTTACTCTCACAGTTTGAGAGAGTTGCCTAGTATCCACATTAACCTTCTTTTCTCTGACTCCTTAAAGAGAAGTCAGCTCACAGGTTTTCAAAGAGCTTTTTAAAAACAGTTCTGATTGCTGCCTTTGACATCTACACTTACAGCAGGACTGTAGTCTTCTGGTTGCACATACCAAGGTGTACCAGTCGAGTGGGATGTAAAAGCGAGATTTAAATTTCGCACCAAATGTTTGATAATTGATATTATCTTTATTGAATTTAAGTCAGAATGAATGTCATCACCTCTTTGTATTGGTATGCAATAAACGCATATGAAAATGCCTCTTTGGCCTTTAAATAGAAGGGATGATTAGTTCACCGTTTCACAGTGCATTTACAATATTTAATGGTCAAATCTTAGTACCATTAGCTGAGGTCATAGGTTTGGAATTTCCAGACGATACAGCGAGACGCGCTTTACTGTAGGAGATGCCTGCAGTCTGGCCTGGTCATTGTC